GCCCCAACCAACGTAATCTATGGAGGTCAACCACTTGCTCCCGTTGGTGACCATGGTTACCTAAAACTCTGCGTCTAACCTCAGCGTTGCGCATCCGGTTGCGCGGAGGTTGTGATTTGACACCACAGTGGCTTCATCTCATTCGGCTGTGTCAACCAATTTTGGCCTAGCCATATTGACTAAAGTGGATTACCGATGATCTGTGTGTCTTTATGACAAACCGTTCTGTACCACTCAACAATTATTAAGATATAACCTGATGAGGTACTGTGAATAGTTTGCACCAGTGCCTCGCTCCACTACGCCCCGGTTTCTTGCTCCGTGTTCCAAATACATCTGTGGCATAACCCACACCGATTCAGTTTACCCGTGTTCCAAGAATGTTTTTCATGATTACCGGGTGCGGGTTTTTTTTCTCGCTGAACATCGAATGCGCTTTTGTGATTGCTTGTGCATAGAAAATGTGCTTTGTGCTGTAACGTTGCAATATGTCAACGATAACTGCTATCGTTCATCAATCAGCCGCTTGGTCAATAATCCGATCACTCGTGCGTATGGTTGAGAGAAGTAGAGAGAGAGAGAGAAATTCTGCATTCTATGAACATACCGACTTGTATATTTCTATGTATGCAAAATCTGGGGTCAATGCAAGTTGCGTGCGTGCTTTGAAATGAAAAAAAAACCGGTCGTTCAATCTCTCTTGCCACTTTTGGCTCACAAACATCTACTTGCTCAGTGGCGTAGTTATGTTGTTGTTGTTCGATCCACTTCAACCCAGTCACGTGAGAAACAAGAGAGAACATGCTATCACACGGCTTCGGTTTGTAATTCACGGATATGTTTATTCTCTGAATCACAGTTCCGGTCCTCTTTAACTTAGTCTGCTTAATCTTCAGTAGCCAAATTGTCTAACTCATTCTCACTCTCGTTGTTTTATTGTTCGGGAATGGCATCATGCTGTTTGCTATTGCCTGCACTCAGGTGAACCACTGTCGTATATAAATCAGCTTGATTCTAATCGTCTCTTCTACCCTCGAAACAGAATGGTACTGTGGGAGACCAAAAACCGACCGACTTCGAGCGTCGTATCAATGAGGCGGTGTTTCCTGGTCTCCAAGGCGGTCCCCATGAGAACACAATCGCTGCTATTGCTGTCGCATTACGAGAAGCGGCTAGTCCGAACTTCAGGGCATATCAAAAACAAGTGTTGTCAAACATGCAGCATTTATGTACCACGCTCAACTCTTTGGGTTATGAGGTAAGTATGCACTCACGCACTCACTCATCCATGTCCTACGTCCTCTCAGTCTGTACTCATGCAGCCAAAGGGTAATTTTCTAATACTATGCTTGTTTGGCTTGCAACCACGGCAATGTTTATCGGTGATGGATATCATACTCCACCTCACATACACACACACGTTTCCTAATCCATTTGCAACAAGGAAAGTTAGTGAACTCTCTACACAATAACTTGGCAGCCATCCATTGTTATTGTTTAGCGAACTTCAGTGATCGCTATCAAATTCACAATGCATATTCATTGGAGTTTGTTTGATGGACGGGTCCTGCTAGGGTTTTTTCAGCCACTAGGCAGGAGAGTGATAAGGGTTCTCAACCAAAGCCTTTGGTTCTGACAAGAACCTAACCGCAAGGCAGCGAGTGAAGCGGAATGAAGGCCCATACACTTGGATCAATTACTCCTCCAACACGTTTTAGCGACTGAGACACCGACTCGAGTCGAACCCCCAACCAGGAGGACCAGGAGACTGAACTTAATCCAACCTCTACCCTTCGACCTTCCAGATATAATTAGATCTGGCTTGACAAAAGCCATCCGGTGTAGCTTGTTGGGTCAGAGAGGTGCACAAGCCATCACACACCACGTCAAGGTGCAATCTCGTCGAGATGGTTGTGCGTGAGATAATCGTGGCCATTCACGCGATGTCCATAACCATACCCCACACTGTTTATCGTTTCAATCTCATTCTACCGCACACACACACAACTGTTCAACCTGGATCAACCATTCACGCTAGGGGACTGTCTCGGAAATCCTCATTATGATCGGGGATGGGTGTCTGGGATTATGACTGTTCACCATTCCCTCACACCTCGCAAAATGCTCCTATATGACTAAGGGTTTAAAATGGCCTCTGCTAAGGAAGCCCTACTCACTGCCTTCTCTCGGGGCGGAGGTGTTTTCCCAACAAAATGAAAGGACCAAAAGCCAACATCTGGGGCTATAACCGGGTTGGTGGACCACTGTCAGTTCACCTAGAGCAGTGGGGCAAAGACCCTGAGTAGAAACCAACCCAGGAGAGGTGTACAAACCACACGCACACCTTCCTCGATGTGGCAGTGGTCACTGGCTCGAGTGGACACCTTGGACGTCTGAACCCGTCCAAAGGGCGTGTGATCTAATGAACTGGACAACGGCCTCCAATGGACTGCGGACTACTGGGTTGTCTTGCAGGGCTGGTTTTCTAGCCAAAGGCTCCGGGTGGGGACCCCAAGGTTATCCCCCTTCCTCGATCAGGGTAACCGGGAAGTAACCTATGAACACATTCTTCAGATTTCTTTTTGTTCATCTCTTGTGGCACATTTGCCAGTTCTCTGTAGTTGGTTACGTGTTGAAGTAATAATAATAATAATGCTTTCACTGTGTCACTTGTGGCATATCCGTGACCGTGTGTTGCGAACCAACTGGACTTGTTTTTGATATCTGTGACTGACAGTTCACAGACGGTTTGGAACTATTCACCGACGTTGTTTGTGTCGAAGCTTCATCTTTATAGTCGCCGATAACTGCATCGAGGAGCATGGTCACCTCAAGCCCAGAGCTCATATTTGCTAATTATACACTGTTATCATATTGTGCGATTGCGGTCGTCAAAAAGTATGCCACCCGTCGATAACTGCGTACGTCAACCGTAGCGGTGTTAAATATCCTACGACGTAGTTCTCACTAGTACTACACGAATGCGTGTTTGTCGATCGGGCCTTGAAGCAAATTTCTACTATTTCAACCATATTCATGTCATGGTTCAGTGGTTTCCTATATCAGCAACAGACCGGATGACATGGGATTAAAATACCCCTAATGTCCTGTTCCAATGTGAAACATGTCAGCTTCCTGTGCTACATCTCTCGACCGTTTCGTTGCCTTGTTCCCCGTCATTGTTTACGGCATTATATGCCGATCCCTTTCCCCCGACTAATCTAGCTTGTTTTCGATTCTTGATCGGAATCGCATTAACCCTGTGCCACACCCCGTCCGTTTCTCGTTCAGATTGTCACGGGTGGATCAGAAACGCATGTCTGTCTGTTGGATTTGCGACCGAACAAATTAGACGGATCCCGAGTGGAACGAGTACTCGAGCTGGTCGGAGTGGCCACAAACAAAAACACACTGCCCGGTGATACGAATGCGTTACGGTACGTTCATTGATCTGGTGGTAGACAGCTTTGCTGCCGTCCTTTTCAATGCCACGTCTAACCTATCCGGGGCTTTATGTGGTTCGCCCCACTCCGGGGCTTAGGTTACCAGTTTCCCATCACGGAACGGCAGGTCTTCGTGACTACGGGACTTTCCCCGTCTACTGTTCATCACACTAAAAAGAGTGTAATAAAAAAAAAGCGAAGCCGTTTCGGACAGCTTGATTGATCATTGTTTTTGTTTCGACGCTTTCTGAATTGCACGTCTCATTGGAGGTTTTAAAAGAACTGGGCACGCATCCTGATCAAATTAGTGAAATCGGTCCCATAAATGTTAGCTAAGCGCTAAAATAAGACTGATCTCTGACAACATGCTTTTACAAAGTTGATAACTGTTTACTTTTCGTGGTGGCTTCTTGATACTACTGTGATTTGTTATCGGACCCGAATGCTTCGAAAGCTATACACACATTGTACTCTGTGTTGAGCTTCACTTCCCCTCCCTACACACACACACCGCGCAACTGATTCGTATGAGCTTGGCGTCGATCAGCAAATCTGTTTTCATTGTTTTATTTCGATCTCCACTGATGTCAAAGATAGTTCTCGTTCACAATTGCCAACTTGTTTGAAATGCGTGTTTTGACGAGGTAAACTAACCACCTAATTTTGCTAATATCATTTCCATAAAACTAGAGCTCTTTTCTTTTAAACTAACAAACGTGTTCTCCGTTCTGTCTCACTTCTCTTGGCACCGCATATTCCTCTCTGTCACTTTTCGGTGCAAAAAATTAGGCTACTTCCGGATGGAATAAGCTTTCCGATGCTCTGTCGACCATCCAGTAACATTTATAAATGCATATCGGTTCTAGCGTCTCTCGGATGTGAGCCAGAGCGTTTATCTATCAGCCGTCACTAGGAGAAACCACCAGTCCCTCCCTCTCCTGTATTTTCCGTCTTTTCGCTGTTCTTACTTTTTGATGCGTACGATTGCATCTGTGAATTCGGTTCGTCCCCTCGAAAGAACCAGTCAAAGTATCATATGAATATTATTGAGTTGGAAATATTTGTGGTAACTGACAAGGAGCACTGGACACCTGTTTTGAGGGACACGTCAGCAATGCGCACTTTTTGTGCTCCTGTTAGAACTCGAACCGCGAGTATTCGGATTGGGACTTCAAACCCTTACCCGTGAACCACTACGGTTAACGGGCATTACCTTGTGCGAGTGACTCAATCAATTTAAACGGTGAATGTTTGGATTAATCCACTCAGAAGACCATCAATAAAACCTGGTGCCTCTGAACAATCGAATGGGCTAATCTAAACCTGATACTCTCTATATCGTATGAATAATGGAATGCCATAGTTACCCCGCTGCCTTACGGGTCAGGCTTTGGCTAGCCAAAGACTCCGGTTGTGGATTCCTCAGGCAGATTCACCTGCCTTGGCCTGGGCAACCTGTCAGTATTCCGCCCACATGCAAATCATGGAACGCTTTTCTTTTTTATAAAGGTTATTGTACCATGATTTGTTTGGCACAGCCTGGATTTAGACGTGTGTGGAAAAAGCTTACCATAGTCACCAGGGTATAGAATTCTGTCATGAGCACCAAAAACCGAAGTTCGGAAACTTGTGACGGCAAGCCTCAGCGGAGTTACGTATCTTCTGCTGTTCTTATTTTAAATCATTAATGCATACCGAATGTCACAACCAAGCGTTGTTTATCTTCAAATGCGAGAATATCTTCCGGTTTTTGAGATATCTCATTCTCATAGTTTCTATTTCTCTGTTGTTATGTACATCGAGTCCCCTCTTTTCTACATATGTGCTGTGCGAAGCGTTTTATCGGGCAAAGTGAACAGACCCCCCAAACTCACATTAAGCGGGGTTGGAGTGGTAGTTTCAGTCGCTGTCACTAGCGTTCTTGGAGCTATAGTGTCGAGGATTCCAACTGTGCCACTGCCATCCGCTTTTTACTGGTAGATGATTTTGTTGTCGTCCGGCCTATTACAACCCTATTTGGTTCGGTATTTCAAAATTCCAAAAATCTCGTCGGTTGCCACAAGTATTCGTAACTATGGCTTTTACCTATTCTACTGTTCGTCATGCGCTAGTGTGTAGTCAAAATCAGTGTAACCATACAATTGGATAGCTCCGAATGCTTTCGGATCTTCAGTTTTTCAC